GGGGTGCATTTTATTGCTTGGTTCCTGCTATATGTGTCAGTGCTTCAGTGTTCCCAAATAACCAAATGCAAGTGGGGTGCATTTTATTGCTTGGTTCCTGCTGTATGTGTCAGTGCTTCAGCATTCCCAAATAACCAAACGCAACCTCTGGGTATGCATGGCTACACATTTTAACACCAAAACCAAACCCACGGAGTACCGCACTGCAATGTCAGAGTACAGATGGCTTACTACTACTTCGATTTATGAACTTTGTTACCAGGAGCTCTAAGCTGTAAACTCTCAGCATTATCTTAGTGGAAGTAGCTGCTGGGTGTGACTGAGATGCTTTTTGAAAGTCAGTCCCAAAGCAGCCCCCAAGACCAGAGCTGCTGCCTATACAGACAGTGAGACTGCAAATGCAAATTAATTTCTGTTGGAATATACGTGATTTTATGTGCAAGGCAGGGTAATCTATTTGTGACCTCTCCAGGAGATGTCATTAAGAGCAATACTCTTTAAGAGTGTAGCTGTTGCTTCTCTTTATCCCCAAGAAGTCCTTGTGCTCACTCAGCAAAAGTATGCTTTGCCATTTAGTGATAGTCAGTAATAGTCACAGCACTGTCTACTGTGCTGCTTGTTTTTTTCTACATATGAAAAATTCTGAACTGTTTTACTTTTGTGTTCTTTAGTAATTCAACTGACTGTCTTTAACTGTAAGGCTTAAACTTACATGATTCTTAAGCCATTAGAATTCCTTTTCTCCTAGAGGAAGAACTCCTTGATGGAGAATCCTCTGAAGGTAGGAGACAATAAACCACCCCAGCCACAGGTACCCAGACTTCCTTATAAGTGGATAGTATGGCATCCTTATACAGCAAAAAGTTTCCATGATGCAGCAGTTAGTTCTGGCATTTTTAGAGTTAACAGTACCCCGATACATAAAGCAATTATGTTGCTCGTATATTAAAAGTTTTGTAACTTTTCTTTCATTGACCTAGCAGGATTTTAAGTGTTTGACAGCTTATTCTCACTATTTTTATTTTCATCTCTTATAAACTTAATTTGCATCTTTTTATTCAAAAGAAAAAGCACCCTATGAACTGTCAAGTCCCTTCCTAAATGCAATTTGCAACCGTTTATTGTAATGAACCCACTCTGAACACACTGCTCTCTGTGTATACTTTTTGGAGTATTAACAAGGTTTCGTTGTTTGAATCATTCAGGTTACTTGGGGGTATAAATGCAGCCAGTCCTGTGGCTGATGAGCATTCTCTTATAAAGCTGTATGTAAATCAGCTTCACAACAATTCACGGTCAGTATGATGAGAGCACTAACCCACTAATCGCCGTAGTTCTGTAGCTCATGCACTAAATCATTAGCGATTCTGCTAAACTACTAAAGATACTCTCTAAAGCAGGCTCTGGTGGGCTAGAGGGTTTCTGTGGCTCTAATTAGTCTTTTGAACAGGCTTCCTGCTGGCTGTGGGCTTTGCCAACTTCTCTTGCTTCTGCGCAGCACAAATCTTTCATTTTACCCTTTCACATAGGATTAATATTAATGTGTCTAGTGGAAGTTGGAAATGTTGTTTTCAAAAACCAAAAAAACGACACCTTTATGGCTTCATCATCCGTGTCTGACTTGCCTGGTGCATTCTTGCCTGAGGAATGACAGAGGCTTGCACGAGAGCCTGGGAATGACTCCAGGTCTCGCAGCCAGCCGCCTCTTCCTCTTCCATGGCTCTTGCTGCTAGTGGTTGCAGTGCTGCTTGCCAATAACCTTCCCCAGACCCCTCTGCTTTGCTTGTCAAAATGGCCACAGAAGAGGCAGATCTAAACCCTACTGAAGCTAATGAAGACTTCCCATTTACGTAGTGAGCGTTGGATTTGGACTGATGCTTCTGGTTGCTGCACCCTTTTTGCAGCATTCTGTCTCATCTTAGTGTACCAACAGAAGAGCCTATTTCATTCTGCATAAAAGAAATATGCAGTTGGAGAAGAACAGTTTTCTTTTTTTTTACTGTAGAGTGTAATGACCTTTTTTTTCTTTTTGATTAATCCAGGAGCATTAGCTATAATTCAGTAAGAAAGTACCGAGACGAAGGTACTTTTCTGCTAAATGCCAAGTTCTTCAATCTGTATTAGACTAATAACAGTATCTTCATTCATTCTTTTAGGTTTTACTATTGTTATTATTGCCCTGGGAAAATCAGGCCTCATTAGTGGAAGCTCATCCTTGTACATCAGAGAAACAGACTTTGACAGCTCTGTTTGCAATTGTGTTGATTTTATATTAAATGCTCCATGATTCGTATTATAATAAAAGTTGTACTCAGGGTAGAATTTCTAGCTGAACGTAATCAACACTAAAAGCTCTGCTGGCAGTGTTTTCACTGCATATAACTTATGGTTACTTCAGTTTGTATTACAATCTGGTCCAGAGGTTTCAGATAGCTTTAAACAAAGTTTTTATGTAATTAGGATGTTTATTCAAAGGAGAGTTGGTGCAGGCTGTCATCTGTAGCATTCCCATGGTATTTGTTTCAACCAGTTGTGTTCACATAAGAACATAACCATTTGCAACCAGTTTCTCCCTTTAGCAGTAAATGCTGAATTCAGCACACTGACTCATTCTGCTGCTGGAAATGGATATGGTCTTATAAGTTCAGCGTGGTATTATCTTCATTTCTGCATTTATGGGTGAAAAAGGGAAATGAACTGGGAAGAAGAATCTTAGAGGAACGATCTTTGATAACTAGTAAATACAATGACAAATTGTGGGGAACAGCTGAAAGGAGATTGAACATTATATGTTATTTGCAGTTTAATTGCATCTGAAGCACCGATTTTAAGTGGGTACGCAATTATTCCAAAGCTCAAAGGAGGTCAGATTCAGGCTTTCCCTGAGATGCTTCTTAATTTCTTCGAGCCACTTCAGAATCAAAGTCCACTTGAAATTTCTCTGCTTGCTTTGCTTAGTTTGAGGCACCCAGTCTGTAAGAGAGCTTAAATGAGGAGGCTGGCGTAACAATTACAAGCAACTTTCTTCTAAATATATACAGCATGGAAACTGATATCAACAACGTACAGCTCAAGAACAGCTTTACAGCACTTACATTAGAAAAGAAGAAACAAAAAAATCTGATCTTCTCCCAAATACCAAATCAGTCATTTGCTGCATTGACAGCTAATATGTGATTAAAACCACAAGTCCTATAATTTTTTTACTGTAGCTAATATTCAGTTTTTAATCTCACATTTGTTTTTGTGATCTCCAGTTACCTAAGGGCAGCAGAACAAGGGAGTATTGCTGCAGAGTAGGTAAAGCCCTTGCAAACCGAATGAATTGGATATATTATGTCAAAACAGGTAAATTGGGCTTTTTATAGAAACTTTTGTCCAGTCAAGAGGAATAACTGTATACACTGAATTAATGTTTTCTTCCTTATTTGGAATCTTTTGTTGCCCAGCTGTAAGTCTGTCAGTGCTGCCTTAAAGTACATAGCTACCGTGGTAATGGATACAATCTCTTTCTCCTTCTTAATAAATGTCATCTTTAAGCTATCGAATTATAGGGCCACGGTGGGATAAGATGAAACAGAATGGGGTTTTTTGCATTTTTCTCAGCCCTCCTTTACACCTAATACATTTAGTTCGTCTAAAGGAGTAATAAACTGGAATAAATGGAGTGATGTGGCACATTCTGCTGAACTTGAAATTGCTTGGCGATTCTGCGGTAGATGGAATGCACTATGGTATCAAATGCCCATAGCCAAGGAGAAATTGAGTCTTATTTAATGCTGAGTCAGAGTTGCTGGTGCCTTTTTTGAACTCCACATAAAAGCTAAAAAGAATTGAATATTCTACCTGGGCATAGCAAGAGATTAGGCTGAATTTTGGGACAACAGCTAACTTTGGAGCAAAACATACCAGTGGCTACTGTTGTCTGTGTTTCTGTCTCTGAAGGATGTGGCAGACTTGAACTGCATGTTGCCTTTGTATGTTGTTTTCAGAACAAGATGAGAATCCTCCTTATTTCATCAGCAATATTCTGCCTGCTAAAAGAAAGACTTATATGTCTGATTGTTTAGTAGCCAGATTGACACTAAAGAGGATATAACGCACCAATATTGTTAGGTCTTGATCACTGTAGACATCTGCTCAGAGTTGGAGGTTTTGTCTCTTATATTCGATGGGGAAGCATTCTTTGGCATCTTATAAAATGTTCCACTTTAACGGGATTGTATCTTTAAAATACATGTTCCAGTTGGTAGGACCCAGAGAAACTTACTGTAGCCAAAACAATCTCTGATGTATTAGCTGTATTTTGGGGAATATGTGGAGGATGTAGGAAGACGTGGAAGAACAAGAAGGACAAGTGTCAGCTCTTCCAAATGAAGGAAAGTTGAAAGCAGAAGCAGGGACAAAGATGGAAGGGATTATGCAAGAGGCAGCCTAACCTTGGTATCCAAAGATACTGAAATTATAAAAGAATTAGTAAGCACCTGGAGGATGATGAACCAGTGAGAAATAACCAGCATGGATTTGTCAAGAGCAAATTATGTCAAACCAAACTAATTTATTTTATTGACAGGATAACTAGTCCAGTGGGTAAAAAAGCAGCAGCAGATATGATACAGGTTGACCTTAAAAGGACTTTTAGCATAGTCCCAGTTGACACAGAAGTACCCAAAGGAAATACGGACTAGGAGAAAATAGTATAAGAGCAACATTGAAAATCAGTAATTACTTTTGAAAAAGTTTGCTGCTGTTCTAGGAGGAGGACATGTCAGCCGGGATTCTTGAAGGCTATCCTAAGTCAGATGCTGTGCACTACTTCTTGTAATGACCTAGTGGGCACGATAGAGTGAGCGTGTGCAATTTGTAGATGATACGAAGGTTGAAATAGTTACGGGAAGGAGTGCTTGGAGAGCAGTTTCTAAATTAAAAAATGAGCTCAGTTGCAGTGGTAGTAAGTGATGTCCAAACGATCTGAAATCAGTTAGAGGGAACTCGGTAATTGTAAGTGAAAAGCGCTGTAGCAGGGAAGTAAATAATCAAATAAAAGATAGAGCGTAATTGGATGGACACAAATATTTTAACAGGACCTAGCAGTTGCAGTGAACCACAAACTAACTGAAGTCAGCAATGTGATTGTTAGATTGCCTCTGACCCTGGGACATCATGTGGAAAGCCATTAAAACTCATTCCCTGGAGGAGGATCCATCTGCCTGGAGGTTTGCACCCAGTGTAGGGCAACAGCACAGGGACAAATAAGCTAACCAGCATGACAGAGTCCAGAGGAGACACCCAAACATCAGAAAAGCGTAAAGAACATAACTCGTAAGAAGAAGTTGGAAGATACAAGGTTTCTTAATCAACTAAGAAGGAAGTGGACGTTGATATCAATTGCTCAATGAGTAAAGTTTGCTTGCCTTTCCCTCCGCCCTAACTATATTGCTTCTGGAGCGTAGGAGAGGAGAACATACGGTTCGCAGAGGAGACATCACACTGCACTGTTAGAAAGCAAAGCGCAAAATCTGCCCTGGGGTCTTTGGTCTCCCATTGTGGCAACATATTTTTCTTTAAGAACTGAAAGCTGCCTTTTTGGCTGAAGTGGCACAACCCGTACCTCTTGAATACATTTTCCTTCTGTAATTGGGAAGAAAACAGGCAGAAAACATATCCTTCTAGATGGCATGGAACATGTTTATCTGCGTGGATAGTGCTTCAGTGGAAGCACAACACGCATAAGTAGCATGCTGATGGGCATAGAAATGTGAAGCAAGAATTTTTTCTTGCTGTGCAGTACACCATTTCGTTCAGCTATCTTCCAAATTTGTTATAAATCAATAGGGCTTGGGTTCTTAGGACGCCCTTCGGTATCATCCTTTTCAGAACCCTGCTGCCAACCTTGACCTTCCAAAAGGAGGGGAATGGCACACAGCTCATCTTACCGAATTCCTACTTTATGCTAATATTAAATGTTTTGATCTTCACGCCATCAGAGCCACATCTGCTCAGATCTATCATGCATCACATTTGTGCAACATCATCTGCCTATATACACACACCCCTAGATGCAGAGGTGCATGCGTGCTCATGCGCTTATGATCAAAGACATGTATAATATCAGTAGCCAAACCAAAAAATACAGGTGAATAATTTTTAAAAATAAGAAGGTAAAATATATTTGTGTGTTACTTTTTTTTTGACCTAAAATGCTGCGGCATGAAAAAAACTAATGTTTCAATCTCTCCATTTCTAACCAATGTTATCTTATTAACAGATACAGTTACTACAATCCATTAAATACTGCAATTAGGAAGAAAAGTGCATTTGATGAACTATATGGGTTTTTTTTAATCAGTGGAAGAACAGTACTTCTGAAAATTAAACTGGTGTATCCTATCACTGGATCTAAATAAGCACATTTCCATAGTTTGTTGAAACTATTTTATGGCAAGTGTGGAGAAAAGCAATTTAGCTGTTATGGTGAAGGTTTCCCAGCTTGAAAGCTGCATTTAAGATGATGGTTATCTCGGACTCCACCTGGAAACTACACAAGCCTTCAACCCTCTGTTTGCAAGAGAAGCATATTTTGTTTGTCTTTTCTGTAGTGAAGACTTCATAGTCTGCTTTTGGAGAATAGGAGGGAAAACTCTTAATTCCTGACTTTGCATCTCCTGAAGCTTTCTAAAATTTCTTTCAAGCTTCTATTGTTATTTTTATTCAGTCCAGGGCGCTAGAATGAGTTTCTCCAAACTGTCTTCTGTAATGAATTTCAGACACCACTGTTTACCCTCTTCTTAGTTTTCCTGTCTTATTAACTAGCTCTTCTTCCAAGAATACTGAAGTAGAGCAGAGCAAACTGCTGGCTAGGGCTGCTCCAGCTTTCTTGAAAGGCAAAGGGTAAGTTAAAGAGAGAGTATGCTCATAGCTTGCACTAACACAGCTAAACCAAAACCTTTTCCTCTGTTCCTCCCACTTTTAATGTATTCTATAAATATCTTTCTTGAGAAAATTGTGATAACCAATTAACCCAGCAAGCTAAGTAGGGCATGTTTAAATATATTTATGTATACGTGGATGCGTGAGGTCTTGATCAGACACTTCCAAGCAAATCCAGCTTGTGATTTCAATATGTTAATCATGTGTGTAACATATGTATATTTAATGTATGTATGCAATACGTAGTATATTAACACAAATAATGCCGACCTCACAATCTGCTGTATTTTGAAATAAATGGTACTGTACAGCTCCAGTCCCTGGCCTGATCTGGCATCTCACTGATTTCTGAGCCTGACTCAGTAGTCAAGTGGGATTCTACCATCCTAAGCCACTAAGTACTTAACATATAAATTAACATAGTAACAAAATAATTTCTGCACTTCTTTGTTTTGTTTTGTTTTTTCCTAAGAACGCTTAAGTATTCGTTCCTAAATTCCCATTTCACAATCTTACTTGCTCCTGCTTTCTCTGTTTATTTCCCTCTGTCTGTCCGGACTGCCCCCTCTCTCCCCCCGACCCCATTTCAGGTTACAGTACAGCCTCGATGTTGCAGACAGGCTGGCCGATGAACATGTACTCATCGGGTTGTATGTCAACATGCTGCAGAGCAACCCCGCACGGTTAGTGCAGGTTTGGCACCTTTGGGGAACCCAGGAAAGGGACGTTGGTCGGCCAAATGCTCCCACTGTTTCCTCCTGGCTACAAGCTGAAGCAGCTCTTTATGAGCACTAACCTAAAGGGAATGCGTATGAATAACGGGGTATGTCCTCCCAAAGTTGGTGGATTATGGCGATTGCTGTTATTCTCTCTAGTGACGTTAAGTAGCAAGGTATTGCAAATAATTGCTTAGGGAAGAATGGCTATACAAATTGGTTTGGGATACCGTGCTCTAGGCAGTGCAGGACTTGGTGATGGTACATCTGACGATGACTAACAAGTCCATGTTTTCAGGGTAATAATTTCTGAGGTGATATATAATTTGTAGCTTCACCTTACCTTGAAAGTAAGAAATTGTAATATTACGTAAATAATGATAATAGTAATAATAGGAATTTGCTTATTAACCTACTGAAGGAAGGAGTTCATTTCAATTTTTATGTATGTCAGGCATTGTTTTTAAATCTGCCCGATTTCTGCATTGTTTGAATCTTGTATACAAATTTGCCCTGATCTCATTCAGACTCAAGTATGACAGGTTTTTAAACGGGTCTGTTGAACGTAGTTCATTGTTTCTGCTGCAGTGAATATGGAGCTTTGTATGCTAAACCCACCTGCTGTCCGAGCACTTGCGGATGGTGACGTTGCAGCAGGCCACCCCGGGGAGGGGAGATGCTGGCTCCCCTCTCCAAGTGCAACAAAACTCTAGGCTTTGCAGCCCTGTACCAGCAAGGTGGTGAGCGGGGTAGTTTATGGCCCTAGAAGATGTGGCACTGAACAGAAAACTGTACCGTGTTTCTAACAAAACTATGCTCCTGAAGTTTCTCTTGCTCATAACGAACCTTCGGTTTCCTATACTGCTATTGCAGATTATTTCCCAGGTTAGGAGAAAACTCTCCATTTATTCTCATATTTTGAAGGCAACAAGCAACTTCATTTGGGAGGATGAATGCAGTGGTTCTCTGCAGTCTTCCAAAATTCGCTTCTCTGTGTAGCTGCAGTTGAAAATGGGAGTAATTTGCCATGCCCAGTGGAAAAAAAGAAGTCTGCCTTCACTGTTCTGGGTCTGCTTCTCTACTCTGTAGGCCACCAGAAATGTGGGGGGGTGGGGGGGGGGGGAATGCAAGCTAGTTTTTAGTGAGGAAAATGAAAACCATTTCTTTAAAAAAAAAAATCATTTTGAAGGGGAATTTCATTCTTGGAGAAGCACTTCCAGAAAGCAGGCTTATTGAGTAATACTTACACCGTGGCTGTGAAAACAAGCTGTTGGGGGGACATGTGTAGACCGTCCGTGACTGAGGAGAGGACTACGCTGCCACTCGGTCTAGTTTGACAGGAGAAGGAAATATGGCCCTGCCTGCCATGAGTGACTGACTTGGTATGGTTGTTCAAGAGGTGAGCAAAGAATGGACATGGTTTAGAGTAATTTTTGGTGCTAGGCTGGTGTGCCAGGCATGGCATTTTGGATGCCGTGTCTGTGATTCATCTAGCTTCAGTGAGGACCACCAGTTAGATCCCCTGGTGAGTGCTTTGCCTTATCTTTACCATCTTCATCCTCTAAATTTTATCCAATATATTCCAACCTGTTCCTTCAAGGTTTTGGGGCAACCTCACCAAGTCAATTTGTATCCAAATACGCACATACAAATTATGTGCCATAACATCCTTCAAATTTAATGTTTCAAGGGATGAATGGAGAGTGACTGATAATGGCCTTAATTGTTTCAATAACTGATGCAAAGTGTAGTACATAACATCTGATTGCTGACACTAAATAACAGTAGTCACAGCATCCTCAGTGAGAAAGAATTTCAGTGTGTAAGGTACTGACTAGATTTTGACAAAAACATAACCGAGAGGGACAGCAGTCTTAGTCATACATCGAACCATGCTGCATTGACATTCTCTGTTGCAATGAGGCTGCTAGTAGAGAAAGGAAATGGTTGTATTTTGGTAGAGACAAGAACAAACAAAGCATTGCCATCCTGAAGCTCCTGTGTTAAGCCAGGTTCCAGGAGAGGCAGGTGAGGAGGCTCAGCTGCTGCATTTCACCTCTTCTGGGGTGGCATCTTCAGGCAGAGGTGACCTCCTCCTGCCCATGCCCCAAAGGGGCTGGATGCAGTTTGCTCAAACCCTACACAGCCGTGTTAGGATGGTGCCGAGTTGAAGTTATTTCACCATGCAGCTTAACAAGATACTATAGCCTGAGTAAAGCATGTAGTTAACCGTAATCATCTAGCTTCTGATTTTGGGGGGGCTGCAGCTGTTGTGTCTCCCTGCAAAATGCCACGTGTACATACCCATATGTGCCATTGCATATTTTCAAGTGCTACCGACAGCCGAAGATGAAAAGAGGAATGATTGTAGCTGGACCTTCACCTGCAAGAAAAACCTACAGAAATACTTTGTGAGCATAAGACATAAAATTATCTTAAGAACTGTATAGTAGCATTTCAAAACAAAAGGAGGTTGGTGGGGTTTTTTTTTAGATACTGAGTCAGGCTAATTTGTTGTAGCTAATGATCAGTACAATATAGCCCAGTATACCTTTTTTCTGTTTGAAGTGTAGCTAGTATTTATATTTTGGGGGTTTTGTAATTAATTTCATGAATTTTCACTGCTTATCTTTATTTTTCATCTGTAGTTATTTGATACTGCAACTAGAAGTCCAAGTTTTCCTTTCCAGTCCTCAGAGGCTAATAAGCTACTTGAGGGTTTTTTAGAATCTAGTATTCCCGAGCAAATTAAGAAACAAGAGAAAGACTTAATTCATTATTTATAGTAACTGTATGGGTAGGAAAAGTATCCCTTAACCAGATGTTTTGGTTAGTTTAATCGTAAAGTGTGGTCTAGCATGTAAAACTAATACTTGATATTTAATTTAGTTCATCTTTACTGTCTGATTCTAAAAAAAGAACTTTAAACTGCAAGTAGTTTTCCTTTTTGTTCATGTAAGTTAGAGATTTAACCTAATTTTGAATATTCATTCCACATATTTCAGTGTTTCTCTTTTCAGGTGCAGAAGAAAATAAGACTAAATATATTATAAGTAGGAGGTTGTTTTTGTTCTATAGAAAGTTACTTTCTAATTTTTTTATGTTATACTGCATAGTACTGTAGTGAGTTGTATTTCTGTACTATAAAACTGCCACGCTATTCTATGGTATTTTTTTTAAATGTTTATTAAGAGGGTGTGTACAACGACTAGCTCTAGCTAGGGAGGCTGGTCTAATTTTCCCTTGAAAGAGGAAAAACATTGAGACCCACTGGTTACAGAGGAAATGTGTAGACACTTGGCTCCCTTGAATGGAGTTAGTTTTTATGATTATAGCCACATCCCTGAGTGTTATTAACATTTTGATGGTAAAATCTTGGTGATTCTAAAGTAAATGGCAAATTAATAGCAGAGGGCTCAGATGATGTGTCTCAGTTTAAAGTGCATTAAAACCAGGCCAGGTTTGAAATGAAAGTGTCACAGATAAACAATCCTCAGAATACATTTGGTGGGTTGCTGTGAGGACATTGTTCTTACAGCCCTGAGGCTTCCAAACCTATCCTTTAATTCGTCAGTATTTTCTATAGTAAATTGCTTATTAAGTGAAGGTTTGTAGAAGAAGAGCATGTCATGAAGACCACACCGATACCTCTATTGCAAAAATTTCACAAGAGACTGACATTTCTGAGACTTTTCTAACCAGTGGTGACATAATTTTAAGACCATCAGGGACATCCACATCGCCTATTGCAGGGTGCCTACTGCAGAACGGGCTCATCTGACCCATCTAAAGCCTGAGAAATAGCAAAGATCCTCCAGTGTCACTCCTTTGTTCACAGGCTATCATATTTTTCATCCTTTGTCTGCAGTTTTGAGATTCTTTTTTTACAGATCTCCCGTAGACCGTAGAATATTACACAGATCAACTAAGGCCTAAAAATGAAGTCCTATTGTACAGGTGATAATATTGGATATTCACTTTCCATCTGAATGATGACAATTCTGCCAGAACAATTATTGCTAATAATTACAAAGTCTTTAAAGAAATGGTCACTAATGGAGAAGCAGTGTTGTTTAACTTTTTTAGAAAAGAAGGATCAGCAGCAGGATATTTGTGTGCAAAATGTTCAATTTCTTTCAAAAGGTTGCTGGAGTCATTCTAATGAGGGTCCCAAATTCTGCACACATATTCATAATATTTTAAAGCTTGTGTGTATTTCACTGTGTCATTGTCCGTAAAGTTGCTGAAGTAAAACAGAACTATGAGACATAAAAGTCTTGGAAGTCGAGGCTAGTGCTGCTGTGCATACCTCTGTGCTTAATGATCATATAGAATAGGGACATTCCAGAACTAGATTTATCTCAGACATGGAAATTTAATTTACAAAGCTTTGGGGCCAGTGATTTGTGGCATTCATAGACCAAATTTGTCGCACTGCTACATCTATTTTATGACATCCACCTACACATAAATATTTATCAAAGACATTAAATAGCAAGTAAGAATCAAAAAGCTGCAGTGGCTTGGTTCATTCAGTAAAGTCATTGTCACAGGGGTTAACTCGCATCTCCGAACTATGTTGCAGGTTGTGTTATGCCAACAAGTGGAACCATAATCCGTTATTTTTCCAGGATGGATAATATGGTTGCACATGGCTGTAAAAAGGAGAATTGATGCTGAATGCTTGCTGTTTTCACAGCCATCTGTTAGGATGCGATGTTTTAGTCATTATGGAAAAATTAAAAATGAATTATACTGTCATGAAAGTAACCCTTATTACCTGGTTTGCATAATTTTATGTGTCTGCAAGAGTTGCTTGCCCCTTTCTGTCTCTGGATGACGTATCAGGACAGTAAGCGTGAGTATGTAAGAAGCAGAACTGTATAAATTTAGAAAAATACCTTTAGCTTCGGTCTTTTCAGAAAGTAAATCAATTAGCCCACAAGAATCTGAGTAAGCATAGAATTAAGCTATATATTTAACAAAATAAATTGAACATAACCAAAACCAAAAAGTCAGTGTTCATCTGCCACCAGAAGTCTTATGTGCAGTCTGCAGCACAAGCTCACAAGCTTAGCTTACGCAGAACCCCTCTGGATCTGACTTTTTGTAGCTTTACTATTTTTCTAAACTTCGTGTTTGTGGTCTCGCAGGTATTGTCAGAATGAGAAAAAGATGTTTGTCTCTTTTCCCTTACCTCAGCAAGCCATAACAAACCCACGTGACCCCCAGCTTTAGTTTAATGATCGATGAATATCAACCACTACTCACTTTCAAACATAACTTGTAAATCCCAGTGGACTTAATCAAGCCAACCAAAAGATGCACACTGTAGTTCCCTGAGGTACCTTGGCGTATGAACTCACTGAGAAATTTTGGAGAAATAATTTCCTTTCCGTTTCGAAGATGCCGATTCTTCAAAAGCAGAACTTTTTGCACAAGTGCCATTTTTGTCTGGAAGGTTTTTCAAGTTCAAGATGTAATTTCTGGCAAAAATCAGAATAAGATGCCCGTGCCCAAAATAACCCTTCTTTTACGCACTCTTTTGAACCATGAAGCTCATTCGCCAGGAGCCAGTTGCATGCCCTGAAGAACCCATGGGTAGAGAGGCATGTGCCTGTCTCCCTTCAGCCAAAATATCAGGCAGTTGCCAAAGGATGGGAAAAGAGGTCAGGCTTACCTCGGTCAGGGGTAGTCTGCAGGCTCTCTTGCATTCCGCACAGCAAAGCATTCTTCTCACCTCTCCTTAGGGGCTCCGGTTTTTTTCTCTTGCATATACTAGAAGTAATGCAGTATAGAATTCGAAATCCTGGGATTATCCAGGGTCAACTAAGTCCTCTTCAGGTTTCATTTTTTGTCAGTTTATTAGTTTTGATGGTTCTCTGCAAACTTCTGAATGTTTAGAAATAGCAAAGGTTCTCACTATATTACCTTTTTCAGGCTCTTCTGACTAAATACTAGCCCCCATTTAAAGTAAGGACAGCTGGTAAGGGATTAACCTGAAAGAAATATTTGCCTTTGATATTCTTGGGGGGCGGGGGGGGGCAAAGTAATAAAGTGCAATATTTTAAAATAATTCAGCATATTTGCTCTTTAGTTCTTATACTTTCTGATCACCATTTTGTGATTCTCTGAAATCTTACTCCCAAATATCAAGAAACCAACGATAAAAGCAAAAGTCTGATTATAAATTCCTAGATCAGTGTTTCCGAACTGTGGTCCATGAGGCCTTGGTAAGCGCCCTGCAAAACTGTCCTAAATATTGTTTTCTGTTGCAAATCTGACAAAGCTTCTAAAGTTTTTCTCAACAAACACTGAACTTCTCACTAGTCCACTGTCTGAAAAGTAATCCCTCTTCTAGGTGGTACGACAAAGCTGAGAAGTAAAAACAGATGCTGACTGGTGGTCCTGACCACCTCCCAGCCCTTTTTGGACAGAGTAGTCTGCGAGTTGCATCTTACACAGCCTAGGCCAGGGCTTGCAGACCGCTGCTGTTTCCCCCTAAGGGAAAGTGCTGCCTGGCCTCTAGAGCTGATCCTTCCAGGAAAATTACCCTCCCCTTTGCCCAATTTACATCTGCCATTGTTAATTTGGCGACATTTTTGCTGCTTAATTCTGTAACGAGGGTGTATGAGTGGACAGTGTGACAGAGCGATGGTCTTTTTTACGATGTATTAACATGTCTTCCCTCCTTCCCCTCCAACCCTGAGCAGCGTACTGGACAGCGCAAGTCGCCTGGATGAAGAGCATAAGCTGATCGCCAGGTATGCAGCAAGGCTGGCAGCAGAAACTTCTTCATCAGTAAGTGTTTTAATTAAAGGAAGGTATTTTCCTTCTGTCGTGTTCCAGGGGCTTGGCAAGATCAGGGAAATTACATCTGACATTCTTAATGATTAATGGATTATTTTTCCCTATACTTTTCATCAGACGCTGTTATGCTTTAGTAATAACACTTTTATGCAGTCCATTTAAACCAAAGAATCCACATACTAATGCATGTAATCTATATACTAATGCAATGGTATTTAAACAATTACAGCAAAGGGAATCTGACATCTTGAACTCGGGAAAGACTAGAAAATATTGTCTGAACTAGCTTTGGTTAAAGGTTAATGATTTACTGCAGTGGAAAAATGGGGTGGTGAATCCATTTTACTCTTTAGTTCAAATATCAGAGCCACTAGGGCCCTAAGTGCTGTGGATTTTAAAGAATGTTGCAGGATGACTGTAATGACCCCCTGCATTAGCCCTGGCTCCCATTTTCATTTCAGAGCAATGATTATTCTGCTCTACATATCCCAAGATAGAAGGTGATGACAGGCTAAAACCTCACTAACTGTATTCAGGAACAAGAGAGAATGAAGCAGGAACCTAATCGAAGTATATAAAATCTTAAATGGCACAAATAAGGTCAGCCTAGTTACTTTTTTTCCATCTCAGCACATTTGATAGAACAAGGGACCATAAATGATAGCTAAGTGAAAGGCAGCCAGTGCCGAGTGCCCAGAAACATATTTTCACACTGAGATTTACACTGCAGAGTCAATCGAAAGGGCAAAATCGGGCACAGCTCTTCGTGTAAAAACATTGAGCCACGTTCGTCCTGGGCGAAGGCAGTGAAGACAAATCTGCCACCTCGGGCAGCCATCTGTCCTGGGCGCTTTCACACTTACCGGCACCTCCAGGGGAAGAGAGGGGTGCTCCTGCTCTGCCAGCCCAGCCCAAATCAGTCCCTTCCAGAGGTGTGATGCAGTGTTTCAAAGTTAAGGCAACCTGTAGGTGATGGTCCTGTCTCTGAAGGAACAAGATCCACCATTAATAATGTCTCTAGGTACAAACTGGTAGAAGTCAGTTGTGTATAACCTGTGGCCATGATATGGGGGAAAACTTAGGAAACAATATTTAAGTAACTTTTGAGTAGAGCTAATTTGAAGGTAAATACTGAATTTCTCATTGCCATCCATCTGTGCTCTTTGAACATAAGAGACAGAAGGGAAAGAAAAGGTTTCTGTGTACAGAAATCTTTCCAAGCCCAAGAGTGGCACCGCATTAGGAGCACAGTAGAAATTTTTAAAGGTTTGTTGATGGTCATTTTAAGGAACACAATGTGTTAATGACGCTGGGCATTCAGGATAAAGATCCTAGTTCGCTCTGTATCAGTCATGACATCCACCAGCGTGTATGAGTTCTTCTTTATGCGCTACTCTGCTTCCTTACGGTTGGAGTGTTAATGGGAAAATGTACCCTTGGCAGAAAATGTACCAGTAGCAGAAAAAATAGTAAATGGTTACAGGCGTAATGTACTGTCCCTTCCCCACAGGTGGTGCTACCAAAGGTTAGCACTGAGTTGTAGCTTCATCCTTTTAGAGGGTGCACCTCCTGGAGGAGGAGGTGCCTGGCATCACATAAAATTGGGCTCCAGAGTTACACTTCGCAGGGCATTTACAGTGGGGAAACACTCAGATCACAGCAGTAACTCAGCAGAGTATTTTTTTAATGTCTGATTCTTTCAGATTGGAGTTAGAAATAAATTAGTATCTTTGATAGCTGTGAAACTTTAAATGTTTTGCTCTGCGTTGTCATTGATACAACACTGAAATACAGGAGTGTGAACAAGGAAAACAATATTTGGTTATTGCTGGTGAATGTGAAAAAAGAGCATAGTCCAATGAAGCTGTGGTGAGCACTGCCTAGTTTGGTAAGAACTAGTTTAATTCCCACTTCATTTTGTTGGGGCAAAAAAGGTTCCGCTGTACCTGAAGGACTGGGGAAAGAGTATTTCTGAAGTACCATCAGAGTATATAGGAAAACTTGGCTAAATGGGCCACACAGCCAGACTGAAAACTGAGTACAGCTTTCAGGCTGAAAGTAAAGCTGTATTTTCAAGAGAACAAAGTATCGCTGCACTAGAAACACATCCCCTTCTTTTTGGAGAGAGATACTGGGTTTTGCTTCAGTGTATTCCTCTTGTCTGTAGTATTATTGTGGTATATCAAAATTAAGAGCCATATTACAGCAACTGCCTGCAGCAGTGTCATTGCCTTTTGCGATTGATTCAGAGGAAGCTTCTTGAAGAAACAATGAATGACAGGATGGTAAACACTGAGTCTTATTTACTCTAGCACTTACCCTGCTTTTACTAGCAATGGAGCCATACTGGTATGAGCACAGCATGGATGCTCTTTTTTTAGTGTAGGCAAGCCTGTACTGTGTTTTCTGTAAGCAGATTTCGCAGAACAGATCTGTGTTGAACTCATGGGTGCATGCTGGCTATTCCTCCTTCAATGCAGCCTTCTCTTTTTTTACAACAGCAGCAAGGTCAGCAGAGAGGGGCATCAGATATCTCCTTCACCATTGATGCAAACAAGCAACAAAGGCAGCTGATTGCAGAGCTTGAAAATAAAAACCGGTAAGCATCCACAAAGTACCCAGTTTTGTTCCATCCTATATATCATGTATGTTTGTTTGTTTCTTAACATTTTTTGCCACCTACTTCTGTGCAATGTGCTTATACATGCACATACACCTCCCCCTACAAAAAGCACAGGGCACAAAAAGGTCCACAGAATGACAAAGGCTTTGAAATCCTTAGCCACCCTGTGTTTTAGTGAGTGTACTGTTCAGTGACATGATATAGTCATTGACACTTTACTGTTTGCAGCGGCTGTTTGTTAAGAGTTAAAAAAAAAGCCTGTCCTGTTTCAAAACCAGATTAACTTTGAGCTGGAACCTCTACAGCTCTATAATATGAAATGATAAAAGGATCAGTCACACTGGAAATGTTATGCTCCCCTGCTTTTATTTGTGAAAAAGATGATTAAAGCTTTCCAGAACACAGGCTGCCTGGGAAAGGCTTGCAGAAAGGTTAGCAGCAAGTTAGGCTGCTGATCAAGTGAGACACTGGGTACGGATGTGACCGAGGCTGAGGGTGTGTGTCCAGGAGAAATAGGCCAGCCGGCTCCGATAAGAAGCGATGCCCGTTTGTTAGCGGCAGAGTATCTGGGCCTGGGTATCAGACTGCCTGATGCCATGAAATGTATGGCACCAGAGCTCTGCTTTTACTGCCGGACTGTAAAATAAAGGCCAGCCCAGACCAGATGGTTTCCTATTCCAAACTCTGCACTCCCTTCTGTCACCGTGTAATGAGCCACCAGCTCCAGTCTCGATTTGTCTTTCATAGTTCGAGGCTGCCTCCAGACCGGCTGCTATCCAGCACATTGTGAAGAAGAGACAAAATTCACAAAGTTTTCAACCTTCTGCTGCGAAGCTTTGTATTAGCCATTTGACAGCGCTCCAGGGCTGGCCAGCCAGTCATAACAAGTCCTATTAAAGTGATTCTCCATGAATTGTTGACTGCTCTCACATCTCTGCTTACACTAAAAGTATTTTTTAAGTGCTAAATAGTTTCTCTGATACTCAAGAAGGGCCAGATAGGTTATTTTAATTTTTAAGTTCATGTGGTGCTTGAAATGTTCATGGGGAAGAATTAAGAGGGAGCAATTTAATTCAGCATAGAGCTGTTTCATGTCTACCTCTGATTTTTGGGGATCTTGGAGAAATATTTCCCTTTAGGGTGAAATCGTAAAAGTTTATTTTAAAAGTATCCAGAGCCCTCTCCCATTGCTGAGGGCTTCTTCTGTTGGTCAGAGCCCAGTCATTGTATCTACGTTGACGAAGAGCTACGTACAACCACATTTTTTCTCCTCTTGCGATGTCCAGTGAGCTGGTTTTGTGGAAAATCACTGACTTGTAGTCTTCTGCTTATTCTCCTCCCCAAGAGAAATTCTACAAGAGATCCAGAGGCTGCGACTTGAACATGAGCAAGCGTCTCAGCCCACACCAGAGAAGGCACAACAAAATCCCACTCTCCTTGCAGAGCTCCGGCTCCTCAGGTAAGTCCACAGCGGTAAAACCTCCAGCCATGCCTGGGACCAGCCAGTCATTCTCAGTAAGAGAAGAAATAAGAGGTAAACCTGGCTTATGGTTTGGGGGACTTTTTATGAAGGTAAATAACACAATGTGTATTTTGTTCTCCATTTTCAGTGCAGGCTGTAGTCCTAGAAGTAATTAAGCTTATACTTTAGACAGCGTGCATGAGGAATCTCACGTATTACTCATCTACATTAAATTAAGCATGTGCATTAGTGTTTGCAGAGTTAGGCCCTTAGGTCATTTGGAATAGGTCCCCACAGCCCTGTCCAAATGCCATTAATTACATGGGGGAAAATGTCGTTCTGTCGGAACAAATGCTTCTGCAGAGAATTCTCATTTATGCGAAAGTAAATACAGAGCTACGTGAAAACGCAGCCAGAATTAGATGTTAATTTTTTGAAATTTCCCCCATGTGTTGAACTCTAAGGCGAGGTCAGTTCTCTTCATGGTGCAAGACCAGGCTGCGGAATGATCCTCCTTGTCAGGTAGGAAGGGAGGAGTAACGTCATCTGCAGCAGCTGAAGATTTAGAGGATCGTTTCTCCAGTTATCCCACCAAGCTAAAAACATTGATATGGATGTGTCTGCATGTTAATTAGGATACTCTACATGGATTTACTAATTGCCATGTATATCACACTGAAGAAGTGCAATTGTCATTGGCCCAGATCCATAGGCTTCCTGCAAGTCCTGAAGTTCATGTTGTGAAAGCCAGACAGAGAATCCAATAAGTGCTATTCAAAACACTTTGTTTGAATAGAGAATAGAGTGTAAACACTTTCTTTCTAGTGAAACAATGCTATATTAAATTTTATCCCCCACCCCCATAGAGCAGTTCCCTCATGAGAAGACGAAAGAACATTTTTGGCCACTTAGCCACTCCTCACACAGGCAATATTTTAGTGGTCTGATTCATAACCAAAGGAAATTACTGTAAGAAATTGTGCTAAATTTTTTCTTTGTAAATACCACATAGTTTTATTATTGAGTTTTCCACACTAAAATGTTTTTCTGTTTTACAAATAATTACATTTGCTTTCCAATCTGAAGACAAATTAGCTTCTTCATTTATGTGAGTAATTTTAGTATGTAATTACTTCTAGATATCTACAGGCAAGTGACGTTCTGTGAGACATATAAAACTGACTGTGATGAAAATGAGTACACTGCATAAAATATACCGATAATGTAACTCCTGTGTATCTAGCCTAAAGTCTGTTTTAAGCAGTTTTAGAAGATTAGCTTTCTGTGTAGTTGCCAAATAAAATTCATTATCCTTAAAAAAAAAAATCAAACAATTGTGCAGTGTTAGCAGTCTGACTACTTAATTTTTCCCGCTTTTCAATTTTGCTACACATATTAAAAGCATAATATCCTTATTTGAATTTCCTGACATGGGATGTCCCTGGGGCAGTGATGCTGAGCTCCTCAATTATGGTATCTTTTCTGATTTAATATGCAGTCTCAGAGTCAGAAAGTAACTTCTAATCTGTGGGTCTGTACTGCTTTGCATACCTTCTAAAATGTTCACTATTTGAAAGGCAAAAGATTGGCTTTTGATTTATTGTGGAATTTCGACACCACCTCAGATTCCTAGACACTTAAGATGTCATGAGGCTGTTCTTATCGTGTGTGAAAAATAGCAGGACTCAGAGCAGCAGCACTGATTTATGTCTGTTGCCCCACAGATTTTTGGGGCTTCAAGCAATTAGGGCAGTAGGGTAATTTAGCTTACAGAATATTAAGAAATGCTGGAATCTGTAAATTATGTTGCGGGTACCTCTCCCAGCATCTTTTGCTAGCTGCTGTAGTGTTGCAGACTCGCTGAAATGAGGTTCTGAACACAGCATTCCTTCACATTACCAGTGCTGTCCTGGAGACAGGTTGGGAAGAACATTGCTTCCAAGAATTTGCTCTGGACTACAACAGGAGAAAAAAGTCAGAGGAGCGGTCTGTACATTGCACGCTGCTTAGATCCTCTCTCCCCATAGAATTAATCTAAAACCCAGCAGAGGTCTGTGCTAGGACCTGCCACTTTGAATTACATGAGTTGGGTATCTTATTTTTATTAGCCGTTTCTTAAACTCAGTTGCCTTTGTACAGTTCATAGCATTTCCAACTATTACATGCCTGGAAAAGAAAAGCCAAAACAGGCAATTTGTAGCAGAAAATAGATTAATCCTCCAGAAGGGTAAATACAACCTGGCAGTATTACTACGTGATCCTATTATATAGATGAGAGAGAGCACACATGAGCAATCCTGTAGAAATCGGTGTTGCTTATATCAGTAACTGCTCACTTACAGAGAAGACACAAAATCAGGGTTTCAAATTTCCCTAAATATAGGAAAGGTACTTAGTCTTCTTGGCTCTGGTGCTTTTCCATTTAGGATTAAATTGTCATATTTTGTAGGTAGTACAAGGCTAACCACAGTAGTTTTATGTTACTTGCAACACAGTAGTGTGTAAAATATACCTAATACGTATATTTTTCAACAGTAATGTTGTTAATTACATCATAGCTTCTAGGAGGCAACAATTTTCTTCTGTATTTATGTAGGGACCTCTCACACAACTTAGTGATTGAAGGTGTGCAAGTGCCGAACCCCCGTCCTGTGCAGTGGAGCTGTGCAGAATCAAAGCTGTTCCCATTTCTGTGGGCACAAACCGGCTGTCACACGTGGGGTGGCTCGGTATTCACACTGTCACAGGACCAGCACTGGACTCCCAGTCCAAAGAGTTATTTTCAAATAGTTATATATCCACTATGTGGTAGTCTTACCCTTGCTTTCAGAAAAAAATAGAAACAAAAGCAGATTGCTATGGTTTTCTGGCTGAATTTCTGAACTCTCATAGCTTCTCCTGTATCTTGCTCCATTCGGTGCCCCTGCTGTAATTTCCTGTCCTTCAGGGCACGGCTTGAACTTCTCCTGACAGCTAGTGAGGTTATTGACTAGAGGGATCCAAAGGCAAAAATTGCCAGGCATTCCCACAAGGACTATAACACAAATTTGTCTGAACCTCATTTGTTTTTTGGAGAAGGGTCTGTGTCACTGTCTGTCTTTTCTAATCACTATATTCAGTCCCATGAATATTCTCAGTATGAGGGAACTCCCTAGCTTTCAAGTAGCCCTGTTTCTAAGCACTATGCTGAATTCACAGCCTGCTTGCTTTCCTGCGGTCTATAGGCATATACCTCATAGTCAGGCTGGGAAAACGATGTAGTTAAAAGCTGCTGACGCTGTGAGGGGTAAGCTCTGATCAGATCTGCTTGTTTCTCAGACAGCGGAAAGATGAACTGGAACAGAGGATGTCTGCTCTCCAGGAAAGCCGGAGGGAGCTTATGGTTCAGCTAGAAGGCCTCATGAAACTGCTGAAGGTAAGGAGCTCCACCTGAGACTACCAAGGAGAACAGGCAGAGTGAAGCAAAAGAGGAGAGGGAGGAGATGTGACCACAGAATTCTGCAGAACTTGACTATTTCCACCCATAAAATACAGCTTTGTTTCCTGCCCTTTCTATTTTTTACCTTGGTCTTTCAATTCAGGGGTTTCAAATGATGCTCAGATGATGATGTTCCTGTAGTAACACTGCATCATCATTGACACGTACTGCTAAGTGGATGAACATCTGAGACAGGCTCTGAACTATTGAAGAATTAATACAATCCTTTAAATAATACTGCAGCATGATGCAATACAGTCCTGTTCTGCTCTTTTGTAGAAGGATTTGTCCACATCTCTGGATTTCAGGCTAGCAGTCTCTGGATTGGCCATTCGACAGTGTTCAAGCACAAAATATTTTGTGGTCCAGTTTCAGGTGGTTTTAGAGTTTTCCCTAAAAAGGAGTTAACTCTTAACTTTGAGGAAAAACAACTCAGCACTGTACACTGTTACCTACTCCTAGCTGTTACTCCTACTGTTACTAGCTGACAGTAGAGAATTGCTTTTACTAGTTCCTTTAACTTTGCCCATTCAGTTGCTAGTTCTGTCAGATGTGCCTTTTGACAACCACATCTAAGTCTCTGATTTTAGAGATGCTTCCCTAACACTTGGTCATTTTCATAAATACAGAAACAAGCCCTTGTTAAACAGATGAAACATACCTCAACAGAGGATCTCAGTTAAAATGCGCATGCTTTTTGATATCTTCATTTTTTAAGACAGACTAGGGTGAGATGGAGAATGTGTCTTTATTTGCAGAGTCCACTCCTATTTTACCTGCTGTGCCTCAGGACAGATGATGCCAGAAATTCACATTGGAGTAAAGTGCTCTGAATAGCATAAGAGCCTGTTTTGTTGTTGGCCATGCCAGATAAAATGAGTGCATGGAAATTCAGCGCAACTTGCGTTAAATATGGCTCTTGATAGAAGCAGAAAGAATTTCACTGAGATCCATTTAGCAATATGTGTCTGCATCAAGGGATGAGTTTGACCCCTTATGTCGTTTGCATCTCCTCAGGCACAGGCTCCTGCAACCGCAGTGTAGGAACTGGTGGCACCTGAGCAGCAGAGCCTGGCGAGTAGCCAGCAGATTTTTGGGAGCTGGAAGTAGACAGGATACTTTTTGCTCTCCCTATGAAATGCTGCAGTGCTACAACTAGCAGTCAGGGCTGCTTGTTATCATTGCACTGCCTGGACAAAGAGAATTTGGGGTAGGAAATGATAGCAGGTTTCTGCATGCTTTGCACTGTTCTGGTGTTTCAAAGTGTGCGGAGGTGGGACCATAACCTGGTCACTTATCTCCAGCTATCTCAACTGTACCTTTAACCCTGTACTCCAAATTTGGCTTTGTTTTCTGTTCTTCACTTACATCCTGGCTAATCTCATATGCTGATCCTCTTTCTCTTTAGGAAGAAGAATTGAAACAGGTAGTAAGTTACCGCCTTATTGGAGGCCTCACTAACTCCTAAATGTGATTGTGTTCCTGTGATTTCTCTTACTTCCTTTGCTTGAAATGTGTGTGTGTTCTTTTGACCAAAATTAATATTTTGCAATTCTTTCACATTATTTTCAAGTGTGTTGGAGCAATTTTCACAATTAAAAATCTTAGCCCTCTAAATAAGAACACGTAAGATGTGGAAACCACCACCCAAATATAGTGATCGACCAAGAATATGAATTAAAGAACACTTCTACCATAGATAACATTTTGAAAATGTAATGAGAATTTTGGAACTTTAAGAAAAACATAACTGAGTTTAAAATTAGACCATGGCAATGAGTTGGAAATCCCACTTTGTCCAGAAAAAGTAAGGCCACTGTGTGCACGTCTTTTAAAGTTGGCACTGATGCTAACAGTCCCGTGAGTCTTCAGGAAAACAATGTAGTTTTGAAGTGGCTTCTGCAACCTAGAGCAAAAAGGGCAGGTATTTATATTACTAATGGTAAATTTTAGAAGATTTAATTGTTTTGGAGTTTTTTTTAGTATTGGAATGGATCTTGGAAAGATACTAGGCTAAAAAAAAAAGCACTTTTCAGAGAGCAGTCCGATAAAACTGTTTCATTTTATCAAAACACGCTTCCTCTTGCTTTCATCAGCAGTGTAGTCACAAGTCTGATGTGTTCTGCCTGTGGTAGAGCATACAGAGTTTGTAGGTAATGCTCACCTTCATATAACTAACATTTTGGCTAATTTTTGTAGGCTGTCAATCTGTTGCACACACAAAAATAAATCTGACCAAACATCACATGTCTTTTTTGATTCTGCAGTATTAAAAAATCTTTCATTCACAAAAGAGAAGTTCCCAACGTGACGAGAGTTTCCCTATCATATAAAATGTTCACTGGACAGTATAAGTGAAAGCACATTTTCAGGCTGTTATGAGATACGATTTTTTTCCTTCCGAGAGTAATAGCCTCGCTGAACACCGGGTGATGACGCTAAGGAATTACTCTCACGATTTCCATTAAATGATCCCCATTATGCTATGCCATTTCATGATCTGTTGAGAGAAACAGGATTAAATTAATTTCTGGAGGAATTCAATTGGAATGAGCAGCCTGGCAATTCATCTAATGCTTATGAACTTTCTATTTCTCCGCTGCCCTTCCTTGAGAAAGGCTAATGAGTTCTTCGCGTCCGTGCGGTTTGATGAGGCGGTGAGGCAGGCTTTCCCGTTCTGTCCTCCCGGTTCTGTTCCGGCAGAGGGAGCAATGGGCTAAAGCTCCTCTAAAGCCAGTGTTCATTTCAAGCATGTTGTCCTCAGCATGGGTGACACTTCATAGTGGGAAAATCTTTTCCTGTCTAGCAAGAGTTAACTTAAAATATCCCTAGCAGGCTGACTAGGGATGGTGAATTAAATAAAATACGTGGAAGTTTTCCTAAAAGGCACGAGGACATTGATAGCTGCGACCAGGTACAACATAAAAGCTAAAGCCATCCGTATATCCATGGTGGCTGTGGGAGCTCCACTTTCAGTGTGTTTTAGTCCTCAGGTGGTGGGGCTGCGAGGTTTGGGAGCAATTCGGTGCTCACTTTCTCTGCTAGATACCAAGTAGATACCAAGCAGTCACTACTGATTACCATAGCAGGTTTCAGGCCCTTAGCTCTAGTCTGTGAAAGCCACGTTTCTCCTGATAACCGCTAAGCAGGAATCCAGTCCGAATAGCACTCCATTCCCACAGACTTGGGCTGAGGTGGATCTAGACAAGTAAAATATAATTAAAGCGTTCACCTCTCTGAAATCAGACATTCCCTAATATCCTCCTATTTCAACTTGCTGTTCCTTGATTCTGTCTGATACTGCCCAAATAGTATAAAAAGAGAGGAGTTTTTTACTGGACAGGGGACTCCCAATGTTTCGTCTCCCTGTGCTTCCCGGTTTGTTCCAACACTGATGAAAGCTGCAGATAGGAGAGCACTGTTTATCATAAACACAAGATCTCAGTCATAGCCGCAAAGCAGACACGAGGGTAAGCGCTGGTGTGCAGCAGCTTTTACATTTCTCTTGTGGGAAAATTCCAGCAAAGAAGTACTGGCAGACCTTTGTTATTTTTAGTAAATAAAATGCCTGTTCTGAACTTCATTCCTCAAATGTGACTTGACTATAGGAAGCAAGTTTTGTCTTTTTTTTTCTCATCTTCTCTGAAAGTTCCCACTGTTGTTGATGCTCCCCAGAACCGAGACCAAAGGCAAAGGGGAGCTGAGGAAAAAGGGCAAGCGAAAGAGGGAGCTGGGAACCAGGAATTCTTTCACAAATTTGTTACCCAGAGGATGAAATGTGCCCCGTCAGGGCATGAGAGGAGATAGCTGAGGATCACAGAGCCCCTGCCTGATGGGCAGGGGGTGTGACCTCCGAGGACCTTGGAGCATCTCCAGGTTGCTCTGTGCCCTGCCTCTGGAGGACTAGAGGTCTGCATTTCTGCTGGAGCTGGTACAGACGATTCCAGAAACAGGAGAGCATCTGGCCTTTATATATTCGACTTCACTTTCATCCATCATTTAAATGTTCTAAAACCGATCATTAAAAGAAATTATAAGTATTAAATCCTTCGTTCTCCCATCAGTAATGTGCTTATTCCTCATAAACCTAATTTGCCCTTGATGTGTCTCTGGTGATAATGTCTTTTAGAAAGGGGTGATAGGAGAGAAGAACAAGTAGCTTAGTATTCTGATATATTATTTATGGTCCAGGGCAGGAATTTATAAAAAGCTCAAGGGCAGTGCTGCACTCCTCCTGTGATGGGCTGCTATTGTCTTTTTTAGAATGTATTTGCCAAACCGTTTCAGGGCTGCTGTGGCAGCCACTGGAGGAGTCAAAATAAATGCCATGGGAAGAGTTAAGAAATGCTCTTGAATTCTCAAAATAAAGCCCGAGTGAGGGAAACCCCAGCCCTCAGGTTACTTTTCACTGGTAAACAACCAGGGGCACGTGTTTGCAGTTCCCCTTTAGTAGCACTCAAGCCACCTCCATCCTTGGCACCTACCAAGCACAGGTTTTCGGTCAAAAGCCGGGTGCAGTTTGGTGTGGGCTCCAGCATTTGGTTTTGTTTGCGTGGGTACAAGTTCCCAGGAGTTTTGAAACAGTGGATGAAAAGGGCACTGTGTCTCTTGGTATCACTCACCCAGCTGCATTTGTAAAAGTGACAGTTTTGTAAAGTCTGCTTGAATTTCAGCTACATGATACTAACCGTGAGGTGCTAACAGCATGACATTTTATATGACTGGTGTTAAAACATTTTCACTTCCAGCAGTGAACCCATAGCAGGAATTTATATTGCCCTGTCCCCGCAGTGTTTTGGGAGTGCCCGAGTATATCCTGGAGAGTGAACAATTTAGTAGTGTATGATTTAATAACAGCTTAAAATAGTTCTCTAGCTCCGAATAAAAAGCAGAAAGCTCTATTATTTATTGCGAGTGTCAGACTTTATGTGACTGAGAGGTTGCATGTACCATGAACTTCTGCTGCAGGGAGGCGGAGGGCCGGGCTGCGATCAGCTCTCACGGCAGCGCTCCGATGAAAGGGGCTGTTTCAGTCCCTTGCCCAGGCTGAAAGCCACGTCGGTGCCAGGATCTTTCCCCTTCTCACAGCCTGAGTGGGTTATGTTTTATCAGACATGCATGCGAACTGGGGGAGTGAGAGAGGGAAGAGGGCAGAGAGAAGGTCTATGCTTTGGTGTTTATGAACTTGGAGGTTTTTTTAATTTAGCTGCCTGACATTTTCCCATGCTTAAAGGAAGTCAGATCTTGACTCATATTTTCCTACTTACTATTTTTCTACACGGAAGCGTTGCTGTCCGCAAACTGACTTCAGTGTATTTCTTTTAGCAAAATTCACATTACCCAGCTGATCTACAAACAGCACGGTGACTTTAAGCTGAGGGACAGGTGACAAGGACAGCAGGCGAGGGCTCTTGCAAAGACCCGTTTAACCCTTTGTGATTGTTTTGCAGACCCAAGGAGCAGGCTCCCCACGTTCCTCACCCAGCCACACTATCAGTCGGCCGATTCCAATGCCCATCAGGTCTGCCTCGGCCTGTTCCACCCCAACCCACGCACCTCAGGACTCTCTGACCGGGGTGGGAGGAGATGTGCAGGAAGCCTTTGCACAAAGTAAGTCTCTTTAATAGCTTGCCTGAAGTACTCAGAGGCTGTTCGAAGAATCATTCTTTCTTGCGGTTAGTGACGAAACAACCTTGAGCTTCTGAGTTGCCTGTAATGAAACAAAACCAAAAAAAAATAAATCTGCAACAAGTGTATATTGGCATTAAAAATGAACTTTATCAGCCGTCAGGCTTCACTGTCAAAGCAAGCAGGTAAGCAGAAACTAGACAAAGATGGCACTTAATGCGTTTTGTGGTAAGAGGGAATTTTGGTGCAGGATGGTCAGACCAATTGTCAGTGGTCTGCTAACCAGAAGAAGAATTGCTGTTGACCTCAGCAAGGCATTGTCTGTGTGTTTGGTTTTAAATAAAGACTTTGCTAGGAATAGATGATACATTCATAGAATTAGTTCAGGTGGAAAGGGCTTTTATAAGTCACTATGTCCTCCTGCTCCAAGAAAGAGGACTTCAAAGTGAGGGCAGACCATTCCGGACCTTAACCACTGGAGTTCTGGATGGCTCCTGGCATGCGTTTTCCACAGCCTGTGTTCCAGTGTTTGACCATGCTTACTGTGTAAATTTTTTGTACTTGTATCTGATTATAACATCCCTTGATGCAACTTGTGACTGTTGTCCCTTGTCCTTTTGCTTTGGGCCTCTGAGAAGGGTCCAGCTGGACCAGACAGGAATCGAGTCTGGAAGTCTCGATGAACCCTTCCGTTGCATTTCCAGAAAACTGCTGTAGGCTGCACCATGTTTCTCACTCCTCTTTCCACTTTTTTGTCAAGTAACAATAAATTTTAAACTGTTTTGAATTTCTAAGGTCACAGATTAAATTATTATATTGAATACTAAAGAAAGTAGATAGTCTGTGTGATCTAAATGAAGAAATATTCCTTCTTTTTCTAATCTGCTTTCTCCTAAAATATTTACATCACTGCAGTTATTTTATTTGAATAATTTTTTCCCTGTTTCCCTAGTACAAATCAAATGTAAGTGGAGCTCTGTAGTTCCTCTGCTACAGTGGAAGGGTATGTGTTCCCAGGAGCCCAGTTCAACCTTCTCATGCACCTTTCCCCTTGACCTTCACGGCAATTGTGTCTGTGTGGATCTTACGCCAAGTTTGAATCTATAATGCAATCAAGAACTTTCTACTAAAGTGCTAGTCGATTCATGTATTGAACATGTTTTACCAAGGCATAATTCCTAGTCCCGACATAACAGGTTGCTGGATATCTCATTTTCTGTGGCAAAAGAAACAGGCAAGATGTATTTTTCTTGTTTCTGCTCTGAAAAAAATCAAGACAGGCAAAAATACGGACCACTAACCCCCATGCTGTTATAGGACAGTTTCTTCCAGAGCTAAGAGTAAGAGAAAAAATGTAGTGGCCACAATAAAATACCCATAAATAATATTAAGGCTGCCTCAGACAAATGCTTTTTAAGTATATAAATATGTTCTGTTCAAGAGAAAAAGCAATATAAAAAGGTAAGCGGTCACATTTAAAAACTGCTGCATTTGATAAATATCTAGCTTTATGTCATTATTTACCATATTCTCTAGATGGGAAGGTCAAACCCAAAGAACTTGAAGCCAGCCGTTCTGTCACATCTTGATATACGACTTGGGGGCGGGGGGGGCTGAGGTTTTATGGCTCCCTTTTCTTTTAAACAATTTTTTTTTATAATGAATAAGGCAGACAAGCCATGGTTAAAGCCTTGTTTCTCTTGGGGGGTTTTTTGCCTTCGTAGTGTTTGCAATAGTTCAGAGATACAAATTGAGAAGACTTTAGCAAGGGAATGGCTGTCTGAGTGTATGTGTGTAAGAGAGAGATTAACTAATTTACATTCTAGGAACCATTTGCTAATGGATATATTAGGAAAAAAAATCTCTTTAGGATTTTGGGAATTTTTTTAAATGTATTGTTCTACATTCAGCCAGCTTTAAAGAATCTTCAGCAGTCGAGTCCTGCTAGTTCCTGTGAATGATCCAGTCTGGAAGATTAGAGATTCTGTGGGATATATTGATTATTCAGCTACAATAGGAGCTAAGTTTGGGATTTGGGGGAGTTAAGCATGCGTTACCCACAGCCTGCTCCTAGGGCAGGAGCATTTCATGCAACT